ATTATGTAATTGAAACACAACATGCTAAAGTCATCAATTAAAAAACCGTTACTTGTGCTACAACTAAAACGTTAATTCTACGAGAGAATACACTATTGTTATCAAGTTCTTATTGCCATGACTTTTCTTTTGAAATTGAATGCGTTTCACAAGCGATATTTATTTGATATTTGCATTAAACTCTCCGATTCCCTGTAGCTCAGAACCATCACCGACGTTAAATGAACTGACAGGATTCGACATAGTATCATAGAGTCGGTAGTCACTATATGTAGGGATGGCTAATGGACTCAATGGGCATAATACAAATATCCACATTAAAAATGAACAATGATAGAGTTTTACGTTAAACGATGATTGCCACTCACTTTTATTTGTTTCTCTATCCAACAAACACAAAAACAAGGCAAGAAACCATCACTAAGATATCAAACCTGAAAGTGATCAAACCACCAAACTGTTCGTCTTTATTCTTGTTTCAGTCGAGATAACTCTACAAATACTTTATCACTAACGTCAGTTTAAACCTCAATCCACTCTATGTGTTTCTACGCAGTGCACGATGTCATTGCTTAGTCGTAATAACCAGAGTAATAAAAAAATCCTAATTCTAGTGTAAACGATGTTATCATTACCCTATGCAGTTATCTTTTTTACAGACATTTTATGTTCCTTGAGAAAGCTTACGTACCGGGTGAAATAGGAACTACTTGCCAATAATAGATGAACATTAGATGGCTGTAACATGTAGAACACTGAATGCTTTGTACACTATACAATCGGTGTATTTAAGGAGACAACCCTCTATATTGCATATGAAGTGAAGGAGTAAAAACAATCAATACACACAACATTAAATTATATTATACACATTTATAAAATACACTAACTTTCAGTCAGGGGAAGAACGTCACAAAACAAGTAGTTGAATACATTTTATAAATGTAAAATGATGTAGGGATGGCAGTGTCCATAATAATGGAAACCAAAATATAGGGACGATAAAGCTTTACATGGATCATCCCTATATAACTTTCAGTATTAAAATTTATAGTTACACTGTAAAATGCATAAATAATTTTAATATTACTGCAGTTGGAAATGATATATTCCTGACTATTGATATGCAGTTTGTTTATCATAATATTATGGTCATGTCAGGGTAGGCAT